GATTTTAATGACCCCCTGACCATCCATGCTGGTCTTAAATGGTGTGAAGTTAACAGGTAAGTGAAATTGAAAGTGTTGTTGGTACTGCTTTCCATCCATCAGTAAACTTGTTTCAAATATGAAATCCACCACCTGTATATTAGATCCCATCCTCACCACTTTATTTCAGTTCTGTTTCTCTTCTCTCTGCCCTGTTGTCCTCAATAATATAAATGAATCCTTTAGCACTGGTGTTGTACCAACAGTCCTTAAAACTGCTGACATCACCCCCTTGCCAAAAACGCCAAACATGGCTCTGGACAATGTTACCTTGTACCTTATTTCTGTCTTGATGCCTTTGTACTACATGTAGTCTTATAAATTCCTGGCTAATCCAGACCTCCCTATTAAAAAATTAAATTAAAGTTAAATTCAACAATAGTTAACTTGCTGATGGTGGGCATTTGACGGGATTTAGTCCTGAGCAGGGCATTATAACTTAGGTTACTGAACTATGCACAGCTGAATTTCTTACTCAAATGATGTCAACTTTTTTGCATATTTTATTTTTGTACTACTGTGTTTCTCCCTCTCTATACATTTTCAGTAAGTGAAAAGAGAAACAGCAAGGTTTTAAAAATGAGCTGATGAGGAGAATTACATGCGTTGCACCACTTGTGCAAATTCCAAGTTGTGAAAAACAAATTGTTTCTGTAAATATTTTTTTATTTACAATAACATTAGGCTAATTATAATGAATAACAATCATTGGGCTAAAAAGTGTCAAAACATAGAATGCAGAATTTTGGTATCAAATCTTGCCTGAGGAATTGGGGACTGCTAAAATCAAAGCTATCCAAGCGCCAGAAATCAAGCAGAGCTGTCAGTGAACTGAAACATCATGCAGATTTACGAAACTGAGAAGAGCTTGAATGAATCGGCCATTGAAAAAGCTAAATGTCTTATGTCAGTGGAAAGACAGTGACAATAGTTTCCCAGAATGCTACTGAACTAGGCAGTTACAAACTACAATTCTATAGATGTGGGATATTCCCTGGCCTTTGTAAGGACACATCTCTCATAGGCCAATGCAGAAAAACAAGGGAGGGTGTTCAAGCACTATTGCTTCTAATAAACAGTGTGTCCAGGATTTCTCATGCTATAGCAAGTGAGGTCCTAGAACGTGATCATCATGGCTCCAGGCAGGAAGTTTGGCATCAGTCACTGCAAGTGGAGCTCCGTAGTGTAGTGGGCACTTCTGCCTAGCCCAGCACACCCGGACATCCCCATGTGGATTGTCCTACACAACAATTAACACCTCATCCTGCACAATGGCGCCACTTTTGCTGAGATCCACCCATTTATTAATCCACTTTATCCCATACTGGATCGCGGGAGAGCTGAAGCCTAGCCCAGCAAGCAACAGGTGCAAGGCAGGATACATCCTGGACAGGCCCCCAGTCCATTGCTGAACACACACAGACACACAAACTCACAACTAGGGCCAGAGGTCAATTCGCCTACCAGCATGTCTTTGTACTGTGTACTGTGGGAGGAAACCTACATCAACACGGGAAGAACATACAAACTCCATGCAGATGGCACCCCAGGAATTGAACAAGGGCCCCAGTGTTGTGAGGCAGTAATGCTGACCACTGTGCCATACTTGCTGAGATCCATCAGGGTGAAAACCATGATTCATCACTACAGAGAACATGGCTGGTGACTCTACCTGAGGTGACTTACAGTAGTGTAGCCCCTGAAATACAGATAGGGATTTAAAATACAGTTTGTATTACTGTGTATTTATTGTAAGTACCCAGGTTTAGATACAACAGCTACAGGCACATCAGAAAAGATCATTACAATGATGCAGATTACTTTTTTTCACTTCACTGACTTCCCTTGTGCCAGTGCTTTTTTCTCATCTTCATTGTTGGCATTGAGGAACTTCTTATGCAACACAGACAATTCTGAAGACCTATTTAAAACTGGACCACAAAACTCTGCATTTTCAATTGCACTTCTCACTGAATTTTTATAACTGCCAATTGTAAAATGTTGAACCATTTTATGTTTGCAGAATTTAGTTATTTCTTTTGAGTAGATGTAAGAAATACGTGTACCTGCTGTACATTTTCAGAATGATTAAGGCACGGTTTGCCTCTATTTTGATAACTACTGGACTTTTGATTGCATCCTAAAAATCTGGAGACAATAGTCCTTCGTCTTCTCTGCCCCTCTGCTGTTTTTAAGTCAACGTCATTATGTGGCATAAAATTCTAAATAAAAAAGTTTTAATTTAGAATTATCACTTTTTTTGTGATAAAAAGTTACAATATCTTCAATCAGCATTTTATCGTTTTTCACCAACAACGCGTTTGGGAGCCAAAAACGCACAAATGCTAAACTGTAGAGTTCAAGTAAATATTCGAGGTTAGGCTACCAGTCCGAGTACACGTTTAAGTGCTTTAAACTTACATTTTTATAATCCAATTTTTTCATTCATTGATACTTCAAATGAAAGTGAAACTGACTCCATATTATACATTTTCCCTTAAAATGTAGGGTTTTAAGTTTAAAATACCTTAAAGTAGGTTTAATATGCACTACAGTACGTACGAATACAAGATTAATAGTAAAAAGTAGTACAACCCACCTCGTTTCCTTGGCCGAATCCTGCTCATTCTTCTTTTGGATTCCTCGTACCCTGGGTGATAATTCCCATGTCTTTTGTTTTAAGTGTCTAGGTTATGGGAAGCAAACTTCTAAATAAGATACCACACACCGAAAAGGGTGTCACAACTTCTTCTATCGGAGTTTGCGCACAGTTTTCCATCCGGCACTAGTTTTGATAAAACGAGTTGTTTTAAATAAGTTCTAAATAAGGACCAAAGTCAAAATGCAAATATTACGATGAACCAACTTCTTAGGCCAATTAAGGCTTCAATTATCTAATATCTAACTAATATGGGTTTCTTAACTCGAGGAACTCCTGGGAAATAGGGCTCTGTTTCTGATGCAGACGCGGAGGGTGATAGTGCTCAGGGACACAGCAGCAGAGCGGTCAGACAGCAGTCTTACAAAACAAAATGATTATAATACAGGATGCGTTTACTTTTTCCAGTGCATGCTCCTTTTTCTAGTGTGTTTTGCACTCTGGGGCTACCATAAGTATGGGTCCATGACAATTCAATGCCAGGTACCAACAAATAATTGCCTCGGACTGGGGACAGAATCTATAGAAACATAGAACAATACAGAAGCGAAACAAAATTTTAAAGGCAAGAGGTAACTGTTCCAGGCAATATAAGCCAACAGCCAAGCCACTAGAGGAGAACATCAGAGAGGATAGTGCTGTGAGACGAAGTGGCCAGGTCCAGCAACTCAGGTGGTGATGAGTAAGAACCCAAGTGCAAGAGACCAGAGAGTGGCGGGACACCTGAAGAGCTGTTCACTGATTGGGACTTGGGCACTTCGGGTGCACTCTGGACCAACTAGGAGAAACAACTGCGACAGACAGGAGAGAAGGACCATTCTTCAGTCCCTCATAATTCTCAGATCTCTGGGTCAGCACGGCTGCAGGAAGCAGTCCCATTGAGATCCAGAGAACTCGGAATCCTCAGGGAGCTCAGGCCAATTGAGTGATGCTCTCCAGAAATCAGAGTGGAAACAGGATGCTTGGATCCCTAGGAAAAAACAAGGGAGCACGGGCAAACTGGAACAGAGTGCTGCAGTGCTGAGTGACATGAAGTCCTGAACAGGAGACAGGACAGACAGCTTCATTCCAGGGCATTCCAGAGATCTAACCCTGGTGAATCAGCCCATTGGGCAATCGGGCAGCCTGAGCTCCGGAGTGGAATTCTGTGCTGAGCTCCCAGAAAAAAGGGGGACACTTGGGTATCTCAGCCCTGGAGTGGAATCCTGTTGCGGAGCCATGAGGGAGAACAGGTATTCAACTTCGGAGATTTTGTCCTGCTGTCAAAAATCAAGGAAAGGAGTGCAAATGGGCTTAGCTTTCCGAGGTGAGATGACCCCCACCCAAAAGCTGCTGAGGCATCTGCCCAGCAAACCAGAGAACTGGGAGCAGCAGTGAGAACAGGACGGGGTACAAAGAATAATGATGAAGCATCACCAAACCGGCACCTCAGCATTGAATAGAAAAAAACGGGAACTGAGAAATGGACTGGATAACTGTTAAGACATTCATTAACTTAATTAAAAAATTTTAAAAAATCATTGAAAAACATTGAAAAATGTTTACTCTTCTCCAAAAAAATGTTCATGTCCCAGATGTATGTATCCGTTGTGTCTCCTCACAGTAATTTATTGGCTCTGCACTGGAGGAATCTTATCACCAGTTATCTGGTTTGGCACCTTCAGGCTCTGCAGAATAACAGAATGAAGTGTTACTGATTAGATCAATAATCACAACACAGTACTTTGCAGATTTTGTAAACCTATGATGAAGAGCATTGCTCCAGCACTTACTATCATCTGTGTCTCCTCCTTGATTGAGAGTCTCTGCTCTTCTGTCTTTTCTTTGCTTCTCGGCAATTTCTCCTTCAGACACTGCAAGACAACACAAGCATTTCTGCACTGTGACCAAAATCACAAGAAATGAGACTTTCTTAAAGAAATCAAGCAACATGAAAGAGTACCAACTGTAAGTTTTAAAAATGTCTCCAGTTAATACATAAGAACCATAAGAACATAAGAAAGGATGCCAACAACAGCCATTCAACTCATTTTCCTCTTTTGGTAGTTTATTTGCTAAATGAAAAATGTTCATTCAACTTCATTACATGAAGGAAGGCGCTCAGAGTTTGAGCCTCAAGGACTTGGACAGAAAGGAGCATGTTCCAGATACTTACAAATGTCGGCATAAAGAAATATTCCAATCTGCAGCCTAAATTCTCTTTTAGTTCCTGCATTAGAAATTTGTGCCTCCCTCACTAAATGCATGCCTTACTTGATATCAGACATAGCTGAATTTATTAATAATGTCACATTTCAGGATAGACTTTTTGGCTCTTGTGTGAGAAACCTAGCAGTTCAGAGGTTTAATTTTGCATGCTTAGATAACATGGCTTTCGCAAGGGTACAATAGCTTATTTGGTGGATGTTTTTCAACCACTCAAACTTTGTGTTGCTGTGAAACAATGAGAAACAATGTTTATCCTTGGGCAACGTGCACCAAGAGCTGAGCTAAGAGTCCCTTTTAACAGATCCCATCTCCACTGAACATGTGAGTAAACTTTATTTTACATAGTACCTTTAAAAGTGGCTTCCCAAAGTGCTTTACAGAAAGAAAAATGAGAGGAGACAGCAGAATTGTCCGATTACAGCAAGGGTGCACAATACAGTAGGAAAGCAGGACACACAGACACACCAGAAGGACAAGCAAAGCACAGGAAAACTGGGGACAGGGCAGAGTAGGAGCACCCTCTAGCTGTAGAGGGCGAGACAATGACCTCTGGATCTCTTTTTGACTCTGCTTTCTGCATCCCGATTCTCTTGGATTTCTCTCCCCTTCCATTCCAATTTAAATGTTTGTTGATTGAAAATTTCATCCATTATGTCTGTACACAAAAGTCACATTTTTAAAAGTCAGATTTTTAAAAACTTACTGTTAGGCGGGTCCTCGATCATGCCGTTTCTCCTCCTGACCGGCACACTGAGCACCTCTGGATTGCCCTTTAACTCTTCTTCACTCCCCTGTATCTCATCGGACTGCAATGCTTCTTCGGCAATTCGTAGTTTTCTTGGCAATTTCCACTGCTCTTCCACAGACTTCTCCATAGCTTTAATCTCTGTCTTTATTGGTTGGACCACAGTCTCAGGTTTCATCACATTTACTGATCTTCTCTGTTCCTCTTCATTCCTCCATATCATCCTCTTGCTTTCTTCCTCTTCATATTTCTCTCTCAACTCCCTCTCTCTCCTGATCATTTCCTTCTCATGAATCTCCCTCAGCTCCCTTTCCCTATCCCTCTGTTCCTTTTCATAAGCCTCCCTCAGATTCTTCAGAGTTTCCTTCACTTTGGTGTCACATCTTTCTCTGAGCTTCCTTTCTTTATCTTTAAAGTCTGCATCATACATCTTCTTTAGCTCCTTCTCTCTCTCACTCAGTTCCTCTTCTTTCCTGTCTTTCATCTCTCTCTCTTTGTTTCTGTTTTCTTCCTCATACTTCTGACTCAGCACCCTCACTGATTCTCTCCTTTCCTTATCAGCTCTCTTTTTCAGCTTCTTTTCTCTTTTCCTCTGTAACTCATCATATACCTCTCTTATTGTCCTCTCTCTGTCCTCATACTTCAGTTTCAGCTCCTCTATTTGTACCCTCTGTTCCTCCTCAAATCTCTTCTTCAACTCCTCCATTTTCATCATCTCTTCTTCTCTGTGTTTCTCTTTCAGTTCTTCTAATTTATGTCTCATGTCCTCCTCAAAGCCGTCTCTCAGGAGCCTCTCTCTCTCCTTCTGGTCCTCCTCATACCTCTCTTTCATGCTCCTCTCAAACTCCTTCAGTTTCTCCTCAGACTTGTGCCTCAGCTGCATCACTTTTTCCTTCTGTTCTTCTTCAAAGTTCTCCCTCAGCTTAATCTCTCGGTCCTTCTGTTCCTCTTCATACTTCTGCCTCATCACCCTTTCTCTATTTCTCTGTTCCTCTTCATATTCCTCCTTCAGTTTCTTCTCTCTCATCCTCTGCTCCTCCTCATATTCCTCTCTTATTGCTCTCACTGTGTCCCTCTGCTTCTCCTCATACTTCTGTTCAAGCTCCCTTCTTTTTATTTTCACCTCTTTCTTATGCCTTTTTCTCAGCTCTTCAGTTTTCTTGTTCTCTTCCTTATATGTCTGTTTTAACTCCTCAATTTTCTTCCTCAGACTCTCCTCATGCTTCTCTCTCAGGGCTGTCTCTCTCTTTTTCTGCTCTTCATCAAACATTATTTTCAGGGCTCTCTCACTCTCCTTCCGTTGCTTCTCATATTTCTCTGTCAAAATCTTCTCCCTGTTCCTCTGCTCCTCCTCATACCTCTGTCTCATCTCTCTTGCCCTCTCCCTCTGATCTTCATCAAACCTCTTCTTCTCTCTCTCTCTCTGTTTTTTTTCAAACTTCGCTCTGAACCACCATTCTGCCTCAATACTTTCTCTCAGCTCCATCTCTCTTTTTCTCAGAAACTCATCATATTTCTCTCTGATCTTCCTCTCTCTGACCCTCTTTTCCTCCTCATGCCTCACTCTCAGATTCTCAGTCATATTTCTCTTTTCTTCCAGATTCCTTGCAATCAGCTCATTTTCCCTTTTTGTAATCAGTGATCTAGTATCAGCCCTATAAATTTCATTACAGTAGTAATAACCACCATTTTTAGCCACTATT